ATTTTTGTTTAAATGTTATGTACTAACCATTGGGTCATTGGATAGTTAATTAAATACAACGCTTACTATTTATACATTCTAATCGATTGTCTTAAATTAAACTAATTGTGTTCAACTTTAACATGTTATGAACCGCCAATCAATCGCGTATAAAAGCCATCACTCAAGTTGAGTCACTCAACCGAAACGGTCTCACAATAACACTGACAATAGACATAAATGTTGACCAAATCATTCAATTTTCAATATAATTAATCTCTTTATTCATAAAATGTATAATTATTTATAATTGAGTGCAAAATCTCTGAAGTCTTTATCCGTGAAAACGGATTGTTTGTGTGAGACATGCGTTTGCTTTCCATCCTTACAGTCCTTATTAACCATTAAATCTTTAATCAATTTATATTTGAGTCGATTTTTATGCAATTCGTGAAACACTTTGGCATTCATTGACGTCTTCTTCGTCTTATTCTTCGGCTTCTTAGGGATCGCATCATTCAATTGATTCACTTTTCAAACAAACAAATAAATTAAATGATTGTTTAAATCAAAACAGATAGCAATCAATACCTCGTTGTCTGTGTCTGTCATTCAATGATTTGTTAGCTTTTTGTTTGCATTGAAAATCATCTGAAAAAACAAAATCAAATGAATATAAACTCGATTTAAATGAATTGCAATTCAAATGTCACTCACTTTCCACTAATGAAAGCGATTTCTTCAACAATTGTTTAGACATTTATATATTTTATAAATAAATAATTGATTAAAATATAAACTAATTGTAAATCAAATCAAATGTGAAATGAATTCAAATTTCAATTCACATCAAAACAAATGCCAAACGAAAGCAAACATTGAATCCATAAATAATGTCCACAAATGGAAGAAAAGGGAGGACTGAATGAGTTATCACTACAGCAGACAATTCGGCTATAAAAACACCACAATTCGGGAACCCATAGGAAAACAATCAAATTTGGATTATTAGGCAATATTAGAGAATATAAAAGTAATACATTGCGAATGTATGACAACCACTACAACCGCCACAACTGATGGGATGTTTATTCCCGACAATTGACTGCTTTAGTGAACTCTCATTAATAACGACGTAATTAATGGATGGAAGCTATGATTCATCTATTGTTAGGATTTGAGGAAATGTTTGATTGAATTGTTTGGCAATTAATTAAACGAAATATGATTTAAATTGAATGAGATTTGCCTTTAATTGGCTTTCAGTCGACAACTCGTTAACGCATTTGCGATTGGATTGCATTGAAGGGCAAACTTATAGCAAACGTGAGTCCAATCGATGTTTACTTCAAAGCAATTGTTGTAAATTGAATGGTATTTTCGTTTCGTTTGATTATAGCATGAATTGATTGAATTGAATGTTATTTTTTGGTTTGCATTACATTTTGGTTGAAAACGTTATTTTGTTTTGCTTTGAGTTTTGGTTATAATTGTATTGAAAGCCAATGAATGAGTGAATGAATGAATCACTTGAAGAGTGCATTCATGGGAATGAAGGGCTCGATTGGCACAAGAGATGTATTGAAATGGAGTTATCGTTACAGCAATTGGTCTTACATTCAAACAAAAGCCGACAAATATTTGTCGACAAGATTTCAGATCTGGAGAACCGACTGAAAGACGCCCTCAAAAGGGCCGAAGAGTCGGAACTGAAGTACTGTTCCATAATTGAGTCACTTATCGACAAATCGGACCGAAAGTCAAAGACCGGTGAAGAGGAAGGTATGAATGACTCGACGCCTGAATTGAATCAATTGAAACACGCGATGGAAGAGAAGGAGAAAGTGATCAATGATTTGGAAGTGAAGATCGAAGAGCAGAAGAAACTGAGACTTAGAGACGCGAAACAAGTGGAGGAAAAGGCGGCCAAAATCAAGGAATGGGTGGCCATTAAACTGAAAGAACTCGAGGTTCAGAACCACTCTCTCAGAGAACAGAACAGGAAATGTAACGAAGAGTTGCTTTGCTTTAAACAACACTTACATAACGCCAGTCCTGAGACCCGACGCAAAGTAGAGTACGTTCTGAACCAATACTCGGATCAAAGTTCACTCACTTATGCCAACAATCGGTTATACGCCTATCAAAACGGTTTGTCATTTACTGCTTATCATTGCTTTTCATATCAATTGTAATCTTTATTTTTGTCAAAAAGTGTCCACTTTTTCTACGAAAGACGAGATTCAAGAATTGATAGCAAAGAGAGGCCTTAAACTCTCGGATTGTGAAACACATTCCGAATCCTCAGATGAAGAGGGAGTGATTAAAGCATCAAATGAACGATTTGGTCGTTCAATCCGACCTCAAAAGCCTATTCCTCCGCCAAGAACTCGAATTCTGATGGGTTCTAATGATTCAAACGATTCGAGTGGTTATAGTAGTCGTCAAACAAATGCATTGAATTATTTTCCTCGCGCCGGAAGTCTGGACCGAAAGTTAGCGGATATGAAACGATTGAATTTTAATCAACTCAAGAAAAAGAAGAGTGGATTTGCTGCCAATGAAGTACACGACTATTCAGACATATATACGCCCACTAATGAAACCAAAACTTCACTCAACCATTTCGAGTCTAACGTGAGACCACCCACTCCTCCACTACATCGGTGTCCTTCATGGGAGTCCCGTATATACAGAATCGCGAGCACTGGTATTCCCAGCGCTTCTTCAGCCAACTCGACGCCAAACCACTCAATACGTCAACTCTTGAAAGCATCCAATCATTGCACACAACAATTGTCGCCAAAAACCATACTAAATGAATATAACGTTCCGGTCTTCGCCACCATCAAAGGCAGGGCCTCCAGAATCAGATCCATTCCTTTCACAGACGATTCCACTGATTCATCCGATAATGAAACTGATATTCGCATCACAACTACAACCATCACAACGGGAACCACTTCTTCGAGTGGACACGACAGCGATATCTTTGCAACTCCTGTCAGACATTTTACTAGAGATACAACAGTCGACTCTAATATATCAGAAGATTACGCTTTACCTCCGGACGCGACCCTTTCGGCCTCAATGGACGCAATCCTTGTCGCAGACGTAGCACAAGAAATAAGAGCTCCTAAAAGGTTTTCATCGCTTCAGAGACCGTCTTCTATGAGAGAAGTGAATGAATTGAATCCATTGAATGATGTGATGGAGAAAAGCGGATATTTGACAAAATTGGGCGGAAGGCTGAAGACATGGCAGAGACGATGGTTTACGCTTAAAGACGGGGTTCTCTCTTACTATAAGAGCCAAAGTGATGCTAATAAAGGCAAACCCAGAGCTCATATTAAACTCGATAAGTCGTGTCGAATCACAACCACTGGAGACTCAACTTTTCAGATAATCACTCAAAACAATAAGAAAGTCTATTATTTGACCGCAGATTCCATCATAACTATTGAAGAATGGATTCGTGTACTCAATAATGTACTCAAACAAAACACCACTTTTCACATAAGCGACGATCAAAAGCCTATTATAGAGGGATTCGCGACGAAAGTGAGATCAGGACATTCCAAGAGGTGTTGGGTTGCACTCTATGGCAGACATTTGCTTTATTTCAAGTCACCCAACGATAAGACTCCTATCAATCGAATCGATTTGAAGTCAGCAAAAGTAGAAGAAGTGGAGAACGTCTCCGATTCTGATAATGAAGACATTGAAGACAATACAATCACTTCTTTGATTCAAACCAAATCCAGTCGACATTATTCTAACCATACGATTGCCATATTTCTAAAACATTCTTCAGATCCAATCTATTTATTATTATCGTCTAAACAGGAGCTCAACGAATGGTTATATCACTTATCAGTAGCCGTGACGGGCGAACATTCCGCTGGAACTCCTTTCGAACATCTGGTCTCACGTTTAATGAAAGCTGAAAGTGATTGCGTCGACACTTTGGACGGCCATTCCTTATGGAAAAATCCTTTACTTCTTTACACCAAAGATAATATCTGCGAACCGTTGACAACACTTCCCAATGAATACTTGAAGAGCGAAGCCATTAAGCTCTTTAAGTCGATCCAATTGTTTATATCCGTGCCGTTGGACTCGTCAGGCATTGATTATCACGTCTCTCTCGTTCAGAATTGTCTTCAGTTATGTCTAACTAATGCCGAACTTCAAAGCGAACTCTTTTGTCAATTAGTTAAACAAACTTCAGCCCATAATTGCCATAAACTGTGCGGTAGTTCTGGAGTCCAGCAGTTCCTGTTGTGCGCCACACAAACCATCTTTACGTGCGACACATCCGGCACTTGCAGTGAGAAGACATCGCCGACATCTGTCAACGAAACCTCACTCAACCCTAACTCTTGCGACAAAAAGCACGCTTTGAATGTGGTATTCATGCAATCGTTTCAATTGCTTTCTCTCGCCATTTCACTATTCACTGCACAGAACAGAACTCTTTGGCTTTTGAAACAACATTTGCGTCGAACCAGTGATACGAAGACAGACGTCGGGAAGTATGCCATATATTGTCGAAGAGCTTTAGACCGAACCTTAAAGAACGGGCCGCGAGAGTTGGGTCCCTCACGCATGGAAGTGCTGTCTATTCTGTTGCGCAATCCATACCATCACTCACTTCCGCACTCAATTCCAGTCAATTTCATGAACCGATCCTATAATGTGGTCGGATTTGACGGCTCAACAACTGTCGAAGAATTTTGTCAATCGCTTAATAAAGAGGTTACTATTCGAGACAATAGTCAGTCCGGATTTGCTCTCTTCAGTGATGACCCGATTGACAAAGAAGTGGAACACCTCTTGGATTGTAAAGTGAAATTAGCGGATATTATCTGCCGCTGGGAACGCGTTCTTCGGGAGAATCATTTCGGCAAATTTGAAAACACAAAAGTCGTGAAATTGCTTTACAAACAAAGACTTTGTCTCAAGAGTTGCACCAAATCAGAGACTGAAAGGGAAAGACTTCTATCTGTTTATCAAATTAATAATGAGATAGTTTTGGGAAGATTTCCCGTAACTCAAGACCTGGCGCTTGAATTGTGTGCACTTATGGCTCAAATAGAATTCGCAGACTTTGTTACCATAAGTCGTCCGCAAGTAATCCTTCAGCAAGTGATCGATCGCTTCTTTCCCATACATTTCAAAGAAAGTAATTTTTTGAAGACTTTGATGGAAGCGATTCGTGACAAATGGATGGAATTGAAGGGAAGGCCAGCAGTGGATTGCGTGAGAATATGTCTCAACTGTTGCCGAAAGTGGCCCTTTTGGGGCTCCACTCTCTTTGAGGCTAAGGTCGCCAAACAAGTGAAATACATGGACTCTTGTAATGCATTGCCTGCACTCATCACTAGTCATACAAAACTATGGATCGCTGTCTCCGACGACTCCATAGCACTCTTAGATTTTGATTCATTTCATTTGATAACTCGCTATACATATAAAAATTTGATGACATTTGGCGGCTGTAAACAGGATTTAATGCTCGTCTTCTGCACCCGAAACGGTCCGCTCGAAGCGGACTCGGGTTCGGGCACCGGCTCTGGCAGTTCGCGCACTGATAGCCAACGCTCAGAGCGTTTGCTGTTTATAATGAATAAGTCAAAGATCATCGAAATTACACTATTGATTGCCGACTATATCAACAGTGATTCTGCCCTCAATGCCGTCTCTACTCTCGACACATCACACGAAACGCTTGACTCTTCGCTCGACAAATACTGGACCGGAAGTACTTTGTTCTCAAGAGTGCCATCACTTAAGATCAGTTCCACAACATCTCACACTAAACTATGAACTACTCATTGAAACACTACTTTTTTATTACCTTTTTTAACGTCAGTCTTATTTTACAGTAAACTCTGTTTTTATATACCTTTTGATAATTTATTTATTATCTAATTCTTAATTTTTAGTCGAAAATTATAAAAATTGAAATTTTTAAAGCAAAATATTTTTTAGAGTTGGAATTATGAAAAGTATTACCTTTTTATATGTTATACATGTATGTAATTATGATGAAAGATTAATTAAGATGAAAGATTATGTATATTATGTCATATTATGCAACAAATTATCACAATTTTTATTCATTTTACGAATTAATTGTAATAATAAGTAAACATTTAAAATAAAATTAAACAATTTTTTAGATTCAATTTCAAATCTATTACTTATTAATTGCGGGTTTTATTGTTTAGTTTAATACCTGGTATTAAAATGGTATTTAAAGGTACAACTGAACGGCAAAGAACGGGATCGGGAACGGGACTGGAATGGCTTATTTGTAATTGTAATTTTGTTAGACTAATAGGTTAAGTAAAGTTTACATTGTGTTCATCGATGGACGAGAAGTTTTAAAAAGTTTTATTTGTCTGGCATTTGAAAAGCACTGAAAGGAATACTGAATGTATTGAAAGCATTGTGTATAGCATTGGATAGGATTGCCCTCAAGTGAGCGCTTGTGTTAACACAAGTGATTCAGCATTTCTAACACTAACTCACATTCAATACAACTGTATTACCGGTTCAAGTGATCACATCTGAAGAAAGCGATGGCAAATGTGGTGATCGGGAAGCGCTTAGATGTGGCCCAATATCTGCACAAAGAGCAGCAAAAGGCAGACAATGCGGCCACCATTGAGTGGTGGACCAGCTTTGAAGAGCTCTACACTAAGCGATTGTGGCATCAGTTGACCAAAAAAGTGTATGACTTCATAATCACCGCTCGGTTCCCATCGCTGGTCGAGTTCTACGACAACTTCATCGCCGACTTCGAGACGAAAATCAATGGATTGACTCTTATCGAGATGTGCGGTCATGTGATCCAACAGATCCACGAACACGAGGCGCGCATTCAATTCATCACTAAAATGAAAGACAAAGTGACGGCCAATCGGGAGGCAGTCATTCTTTGCAACATCTTTTTGGGACAATCCATGCTTTCGGCGAAGGATATGAAGGGTTTGAAAGAGCTTTTGGAGACAACCAATGGTCTGATCGAAGCGGAAACGGGCGTCACTTCAGTCCACTCGCGCTACTATCGGCTCTCAAGCGAATATCACCAGCAAATGGGAAACCATTGCGACTATTATAGGGACGCTTTGAGATATCTCGGCTGTCAGACCAGCGCCGATGTGGAGGACGCGGCCATTCAGGCCCACCGGGCGTTCACCCTATCGTTGGCCGCTATTCTCGGCGATTCGATCTACAATTTTGGTGAACTCTTACAGCACCCGATCGTTGACACTCTCACCCCAGAGAACCGATACATCAAAGATCTGCTGTTGGCGTTCAATAGCGGCGATTTGAGCCGTTATGAGGCGCTGCGGCCGCAGTGGTCACTACAGCCAGACTTGGCTAAGAATGAGGTGACAATGCATGAGAAGATATGTTTGCTGTCACTCATGGAAATGACATTCAAGAGCAACACTGGAGTGATTGGCTTTCAAGACATCGTCGCACAGACACGGCTTCCGGACGACAAAATCGAGTTACTTGTGATGAAAGCTCTGTCTCTCGGGTTAGTGAAGGGAACCATAGATGAAGTGGAAAAGACTGTCCACTTGTCTTGGGTTCAGCCCCGAGTGCTCGACAAGAAACAGATCGAGTCTATGAAGAATCGACTCGATGTTTGGTTCAAAGAGATTAATGTCATCGAAGGTCTACTCGAGAAGAGGGCTCAAGAGATCATCAATTAATTCATTTATCTTAAAATCTATTTTCTTGTGTTTTAAAAATTTGTAATTTATTAATAACTTTATTTGAGTTATAATTTTCTCGAAAATGTCATTAGATTTTGACTTTTTATAAGAAACGATTGAATTTAAACTACTTTTTTGTATTGATATAACCAAAAATAAAATGCAAACAAATTGTCATTAAATGGTGTGAAGAAGCGATTTTCGTTATGATTGTAATAATTACCCTAAAATCCCAGCCATAACTCGTACCTCACAATTTCATTTACTGTTTTTATTTAAAAAAATGTTTCATTCTTCCGGATGTTTGCTTAACTGAATCGGCATTTAATGTGTGAGTATTTGTGCGATGAATGCCCTAAAATAGGTGCCACTTGTGATGCAATGCTCCGGTCATTTGCCGTACAATTGCATACATTATTGCCGTCAAAGTAATGCATATTTTGCCACAAATTGTCAATTTGTGAATTGAATGACAGCAAGTCTTCGCGCATGCGTTCCAAGAGTTGTCACATTTGTATGAAAACAATCGTTTGTTTTGCTTTGCATTCATTTGTCAATCAATTAATTCATTATTTATTTATTAATTATTCATTCATTCATTGATTGAGACATCAGTTGAGACCCATTTGTAGTTTAACATCAAATATAGGATGTGTTGAACGAATCCATGTCTTCACACGTTGTGGTGAACGGCACGGATGGGACGGACGCCACCACCGATGGACTGGAAGTGTCGGACAGGGATGTAGTGAAGGATGTGGTGAAAGATGTGGTGAAGGATGTGATGAATGGTGTGGTATATCATGAGAAGCAATGCAAACAGATGTGTGCGAAACACGCGTTGAATAATTTGCTTCAAGACATGGATGCGTTCACTAAAGCAGATTTGGACGCCATTTGTCACACGTATGTCCTATTCATGTCTTGAGATGTGATGTCTTGAGATGTGATGTCCTGATGGCGTAATTGTAATGCATTTTGTTATGTGAATAGTCTGTCGCCAAACAGTCGTTTCCTGAACCCTCACAAGTCATCACTAGGTTTAGGCAATTATGACATAAACGTTATTATCTCTGCTTTACATACAAAGCATTTCGAGACCTTTTGGTTCGATAAGAGAAAGTATGTATTGATTGTCACCATTTGGTCACACATTAAGACATAACTCATTGTCGTTGACAGAGACCCGAATTGTCTTGAATTGGATCACATCAAAGGTTTTATACTAAACATTCCGAACCCGATATACAACTCGTGCCGCAAATGGACGACCAGTTCTTTGTTTTCATTGCCGTCGAGTTTGCTGTCGAGTCGTAAGCATTGGATCGCAATCCGCTCTTTCGGTCAACACTATTATAATCTCGACTCTAAACTAGATTTCCCTCAACTTATCGGAAATGTATTACAATTTTTATTTGTTGTTATTTTTTGCAATCAATATTGAAATGAATTTTTCTTTTGAATCGAAAGAAAAGCCAATTAATTAATTACTTGCGAGAGAAGAACCGGTCGACTGACACAGAAATCTTTGTTATCGTTAATCAAGTGATCGCCGAAACGGTCGCTTGGATTCAACAATAAGTTATTGTCAATTCATTACATTCACACAAAACATTGCATTGTTTCAAGTGTTGGACAAATCCCAGTGCCTTAACGTAAACTTTATTTAAAAACTTTAAAAACAACTCATTTTTCTCTTCAGAAGAGAAAAATGTAATAAAATAATGATTAAAATAAATGAATATTTAAGAGTTCTTTTTGGATGTTTTTTGGGTACAAATATATGTAAATAAATAAATAAATATATATTTAATTCTAATTCCATTAATATATTGATGTTTTCAACGTCTAGTCAGTCACTGTTTCCACAATTAAAACTCAAATAAAAATAATAATTAAAATATATTATAAATGATTTTTAAATACTGTAAATGTTTTGGTAAAAAGAATTAAAAATTTGTTAAATAGCTTAACAATGGTTTTCATAATCCTATGTAATGCCTCTCTTGCGGCTGTTGTTCAGTACAATTGCCACCAAAATTGAGATGAGTCTCAGATCGAGAGCGCCCTTCGCTTTGGATAAACCGTTCGCTAAAAACATCAGACGTCAGACCATATACTATAAACCAATGCATCCAAGTGTTGAAAACATGCCAATTATTACCTGAGGAATGGTATGACAGCAATGAGACGCTGTTTATCCGATATATCGTTATATTGGGACTGAAGAACATTAATGAGATTTCGGAGATAGTTCTCAAGACGTTTACGTCTTTCCTGAACTACTTTTGAGTCTTTGTTTCCAATGGTTTTCTTCGGCGGAAAATCATAAGTACTTAAAACTTGAAATTTTTTGCGAAGAGATTTGTGAAGACTATAGAACTGAGAGTAACGTCTGTAGACATTCCACTCGTCGTCTTTAATTCGGACGTATATTTGGTAGATATGATGCGATTTACTCCTCTGCCCGCCCGCCAAAAACACAGTCGGTATCCATATATGGATTAGCGGCTGATTTATCGATGATTGCAGTGAGAAATCCATCTCAAAATCAGACGACACACTCATTAGATCCTCTGTGGCTTCAGTCACTTCTGGTAACTTTAATACAAATTAAATACATTATTCATTCATTCATTAATGTAAACAACAAATAATTCAAAAGTGTTAACATATAAACACTCAAAGCATTCGAGAGCTGAGATAACCTGAATGTAAAAATTAGTTCAACGATAAGACTATTGAGAACACGGTTTTATTGAACACAACATTACGATTCATAACTCGACTTATAAAACAGATATTAAAGGAGTAAAAGGGAAATACCGGTCCTCTCAAGTGAATCAACTCGTGTTTGATTCGAGTGATGAGTTGGTCCTTCTGAGCGATCACTCGATG